ACTTTGGAGCCCTACACTACTCAAAGGCTTAGTCCTATTGCGATCTAATTAGTGCGAGGGCGCAGACGAGCAGGAAGCAGGCGCCGAATAGCGCTAACAACAAATCAGGACCCCGAATAACCCCTATACAGAAGTTTACAGCGAATTTAGTGGGAAACAGTTGTGGCGCCACCCGGCCCCAAATGGCGCCAGCGTCAAAAATGAGTATCATATCCGTAATGAGGACAGAAGCGTTTCGTAAAAGATGTTATACCCTTATGCAGATGTCTATACAACAATATGAACCCACAAAATGCAAGCACAAGCGACACTATTAAACCCTCGTTCACCGATAATTCGTAAAACACCATTTGTGTGGCATCGCCCGGAATCGTGTAAGTCACAAAACGTTTTCAATAATGAGACAGAATTAGTGATTCACCGCATTTATCAATACAATGGGTGTGAGCGCGGGCAAGTAAGGAATCAGAAACTTACAAATTCACGCATGCAAAAAAAGCTGCTCCAATCGCGCGTTCTTCCATACCGTAGTTGTTTTCGCTGCGGGTGCGCCAGCCTGCCGCGCGATGTCGCGTTGCGAAGAGCGAAAAAGTCGCGTTCTGTCCTAAGTACCCACACCCCTATGTTGGACAATTCAGATCTGCGTAGCCTGGTGTCATAAAGATTAACCGAGATGGGGATTTGAGGCATCCTGTCCCAGATCGTCTCAGATATTCCGTTATGATTAATTCTCACTTAAGGTTTCACTGTATCACTCGACAAAAGATTAGCTGCTGATGGTAGAGGATTACAACAGGTACGGGGCTCGCTTATTCTGCGTTGTATTATCATAATTCTTCCAATTTCAGACCCATATCAACGAAGGCTTCGCAAAACTTTCTGAAGCATTGTACATCGCTGACAGGAAGGCTAGGGAGTCTGTAGAAGCAAGAGCGCAGTTGGAGAAGAGGGTTGCTCAACATAAGAAACTCGAACAGGAAGCTCGCATGCGTGAAATGGCCGCAAAAGCGCGACAGGTGATCGGTTTTTTTTCTTTTTTGAGCAAGGCATGGTAGCTCATGTTATTTCCATATGAATGGAAATATTTTCAGGAACGCGCTGGTATCAGGAAAAGAGATGAGGATGAGGATGAAGCTGTCAAAGCACGAGAGGAAGTTAGGTACGGATACTTTTCTGCCCTTTGTGTGTTACTGATTCTTGCATGGTTCTCTGGTTTGACTTGAAAAGCCTAAAACTATGGTGCTCAGCCTGCGAAGAGTCTGGCTTGGTTCATTGTAAATGCATTCTCTTCTCTCCAGAGTCTTGTTTTCGAGTATTGCAAGTTTTTCGAGATTCTGCTTGTTGCCTTCGTTCCATTTCGGATACTTGAACGACCTTTGCTATATGCAAGCGATCATCGGGACGGAAATTTAGCTTCTTTACATGATTTTCGCCCCCCAACAGGATAAAATAATTTTGAAATTTTCTGTCCTAATTCACTCGAGATTTCCTTCATTCTCACTGCAGAAACTCTGTTCGATCATTTTAATGTCTGCCTATGGCACTAATCAGCATCTATTTATAATAAGTGCTCTTTTTAAAATGTGGGTAATTAGGGCGTGAGAAAAATTGAGTAATCTTGAATGCTTTGTTCATGGAAAGCTCTGGAACGTCTTGATTTTCTTGCATTATAGACGTGATCGTCTCGATGATATTCGCAAGGAGAGGAATATTGCGCGCAATAGACCTGATAAGGTCGATAAGTTGATGCGGTTAGTTCTTTTCATGAAGTTTCTCTTTTTCTTCAATGGGAAATGTACGTGACTCTTTTTCAGGGACCGCGATCGCGATATTTCCGAGAAAATTGTACTTGGTTTACCAGATGCTAAAGTTCGATCTAGTGAGACACAGTTTGATCAGAGGCTTTTCGATCAAAATAAGGTCGGGTAACTCCAAACGGTGAAGCGTTTTGGTTTGGTTATTGGGTTACTTTTTCAGGGACTGGACAGTGGAGCCATGGATGACGAAACCTACAATCCTTACGACAAGGCGTGGCGTGGTGGTGATAATGTTCAGCAGCACATATACCGGCCAAGTAGGTTTATAAAAATATCGTCTTTTCTGATCTCTATTCGATCAGAATGTTTTTTTTTCAAGTTATCTCTTCACATTTGATAGTGGACCAATTGGATGTGCCTTTCGTTTTGATAAGGAGATTGAAGTCGTAGCATAGTGATTTTGTTTGATTTGAATTAGTGGTCTGAATCAAACGAAGCCTTACTGCGATTGAAATGCGCTATACAATGGCAGTTCGAGGTCGCAAAATTGCTTTCAAAATGTTCAATAGCCTTTGTGTCCTTCTAGTTCTTATTTACTTCTGATACAATCCACGATTTTCGAACTGTGGAACGCTCCCTTAGCCATTTTGGAAGCACATTCATCTTGCCGTCCTGTTTCGTTATCAGTTAGATCGTAATGTGATGAGGCATGATGTCATCAGGGTGCGTTTGAAGTCTGGTCGCGTTTGCGGCTGTTGATTGTTTTCCTTATCGGCCGTCTATGCATATTCATACGAATTAGACATGAATTCTTGTTGCGATTAGAACCAGCACGAAGCCGCGCTATTTTTTCCTGTTATGGCCCTCATTTTTTGATCAAATGCTTTATCGAATATCCAAAAAACACATCACTGTATGTGGGAAACGTCACTCTTCAACAAAAAACCCTCTGTAAATATTGTAATTGACTTGTAAATTAGCCTTTCTAATTATTAATGAGTCCAAGGTACATTGTACATGAATATGCCTTCACTACATGCATGCTAACCAGTTTTTCTTCGCATGAGAATGGGAAATCTAGAAATTCAATCCCCAGAATTTAACCCTTCGTTTACTGTTGGTGCACATGTGTACCTCTTCCGTGGTCGAAGGTACCATTGTTTCGGGACTTGTCGAGGCAGGAAAGCCTTTTTGATGCGGAGATGTGCAAGTTAACCATTTGATACCGTTAGCACACATGTGCACCCCGTAGTCAACGGGTACTACCACAGTCGAAAAGTCTTTGGCGTTCTTTGGCGCCCGTTTGAAGGCCGAGTTGTGCACAAATAGAAATTCTATTATCTCAGCTCCGAAGACAAGTCGCCAAATGTTTAAGAGAGTCATCCTGAAGTGGTTATTGGAGCAAGTTCTTGGGCGCAGGTCACTAGCCAGTGTGTATAGTTTCTAGGTTAGTACATAGTTTCTAAAAAAATTAATCCCGATTTTATTAATGTTTGTGTCTGTTATATTATAAAATCTTATGGTTAGTCAAACTGATCATAAGAATTTCAAAATTTTCCTTTGGGGGAGTGAACATAACCAACACTGGGCGCACTACCACTTTTTGTCCCTGGATCAAATCCCTGGCCCAAATCCTGGTAATGTAGCCAACATTGTTTGAAGATATCGGTAGTTGCCAAGAAGTGGTAGTAACCAAACCAAAGTTATTGATAACCTTATTCCCACATGTAGTATTAATAGAGTCAAGATTCTCCAAATTAAGACAATCAATCGTTGGCACTTTCGTAGGGCACAGTGAATTATCATAAGGCAAGTAATTGTTATGATTGAGCAGGGTAAAGCTTCTGGCGCTGAAGTCGCTTTTTGGAACGCGCAACACGGACTTCCGTTTAGGATCGTAGCGGCTTTTAGGTGCGAAAATTTTAATGGAATTTACCGAGAGAAAGCTAATGCATATGCCAATATTTTGTTCTTCCACCATCAGACGAATCTGGTATCAGTTAACCGACTGCGGAGGGATGGAAGGTTTGGGAGTTTGGTGGAATTTTATGCAAGATTTTATATCGTAACTGTGAGCTTTGTGTGCGGAGACTCCTGCCGCTATACAGCATTCGCCCATTTTCCGTATCCCTCGATTAGAACTCGGAACAAAGGAAGTGTGACGAGTTTCTAATGCACTAATCTCCTCATTTGGTTGCCGCTTTTTTTAGGAAGGGTTGCAAGGGGCTGATATGGCAATACGAATGATCGGTTAACAAAAAAGAGATTCTGATGTTATTACTCATTGATACTTTAGAGAACGTTTCCTTGTCTAAAGCTTTACCTGGTTAATTTTATATATCAAAATGTCAACAAAGCGTTAAAGAACTCTGTCTTGCACCCAAGGTTTTTGATATATGTACAAATTGTTTAATTTACACGTTCAAAGCATTTATTGGGAAGACATAGAAAATCTCAGGTTCCGAAAGTTTGGACTAACGGTTCTCTCCTCGGTCAGTAGCTCCATCAGGTCTTATAGTATGTATCCTATTACCATTAATTTCGTAATTAAGTTGCTCAGTCTGCCTTCTGTCCGGGTAGTAATAAAATTCATTCTGGCCCCCTTGTTTCTAAGGGACAAGCTAGAGTTTTGAACTGGAAGTGAGGTGCTGATTGTGAGTGCAGACTGTACGCTCATCAAAAGTGTAAGCACCGAAAAGAATCCGTAACTTTGTGAAGCCTTCAGTCCTTCGATCAAATGCTTAGGAGTTCAACCTGCGTCGTGCAAATGTTGAGATGCCATTAGCAAATACGAGGTTATAGGGGAGTGTGAATTCAAGGAAGATAATCGGTAGTGCGGAAGCATGGATAGGTTGATACTGCTACGGGTAACGGGTTTTGTTGCGTCCATTTTGGGTTGGGCGTGGGCATTGATCATTGTTGAAATTAGTGCTACATATATTATTTCTTGCTATCGACATCTTACATAAACGTCTATAAAAGCCTATCCTAAGGTCATAAACCGTCGCGCCCAGGTGAGGACAGAATAGAATAAAAGTATAGATCTTGAGAAGCACTAATTGCCATACACGATAAATGAGCGGCCTTTCCAAAGATCAGTTCTATCCAATATGTTACTGTAGTTTCAAATTTCAGGTAAAAATATCGACAAGGACGTATATGGTGACGATCTCGATAAAATTATCAATACGCAGCGCTTTGTTCCTGACAAAGGTTTCTCCGGAGCAGAAGGCAGCTCTCGAGGATCTGGGCCAGTTCAGGTTAGCTCCAACCAATTTGTCTTCATTACAGTATTTAAATCCGATTGCCTCTGGATCTGGACTTTCGTCAGCGAAAAATCTTTCAAATTAGACTCGAAGAAAACTCTAGCGACGAGGGTCCGTTGCTGTTTTCCACCGTACAAATATCACTGGTGCGGGATAGGTGGATGTATTTGATTCTGGGATTTTCAATTGAAATTGCTCCTGCTCCTTTTTGAGCAGGCTTCTTGTCCCCGTGGAC